TAAAAATGAAAATATTACTTGCATACAAGAACTTTGAGTCCAGAATGACTTGTTAGTATTAAAAATTCTTTTGATGTTTGAGAAAGAAATTAAAAACATTTGTATAATAAAGCGGCGCAATTAACTAAATGCCATGGTGTTTAGAAACTGTATAAAAAACACCAGACTACTTACTTTTGACGCGAAATATGCAAGGACTTGTGCGATGTGAGGCGTAGAGAAAGTTTTGCTATTGGAAAAAATATGTTTTGTATAATTTTTTTTCTTGATATGGGAGTTTGGGATTACGTTTGAGGTAATTTTTCTTAGTAATAAATATCTTACAATGATGTCATCGTGAGGTATGTACCTACTATAAAGTGTGTACTCTGTTTAAAGAAGAAGGGAAATTATATACACACATATATATATACATATATATACATATATATATATATATATATATATATATATATAAATTAATACACTATTTTTGTAAATAAAATAAAAATAATACCAGGTAGGTATATTCTTTTATATTTTAAAGTTTTTGTTACTTCTTGTTTCCTTGCAAAAGATATTTAATTAGAGAGAGAGATAGAGAGAGAGCTTATTTAATATTTTTTTCTTTATTATAACATTATTTATTAACGTTTATTTACTTCTCACGCAGAATACAAATTGTCATTTGTATACTACTTTAAAATATTGTATATTATTTTAAAGCATTGTTGTTTGGATTCAGTCCTATAACACTATCTATAATATTCCTCAGTCTACTTTAGTATACTTTAGGTGAAATTCGCGAGAAAGTGTCACAGCTTCACCGAGAATTTATATTTTTCGTACGAGCACAGGTACATGTATACACATTTGATTAACGCCTGCTAAGTGACTGCTCGAGGGCGCATTGCTCATTCATATTTCAGTTTTATAACTATGCCCTATACCGCGTATATTTGCCTTTTGACTTTGTCCAATTTCATTCACCCTTAATATTTTGGCTCTTAAAATTTCACTGTACCTTCATATGTATGTATGTGGGTGTAGTGTTTATTTAAAAACAAACAGTAGGTAATACAATCTATTTTATACAAACAATACTTTGAATGATAGAGATGTCGTCACTACTTTATTTTTTATAATATGTTGGAACATTAACACACAACACCATCTAGTTCCATGGTAAGCTACGAGGCTTGCGTTATGGATACCAAATAGTTGAAAGACTACACATATGTAGCTTTAAATACATACATACTATAAATATAAACATCTGGAGTATATAAACATTCGTGCTCATCACAAAAATGAACGCCCCCCAGCGGGACTCGAATCCGCGACCTCTGGCACTGCAAGTAGGGTCACTACAAACTGAGCCAAACGTGCCATCAAATTATGTTATTTTATTCGTACACCTCTAGATCTAGGGCAACGATTAGCCCATATCTAGTGCATATAATAAAATTGAAGATGTATTAAGTTTTGAAATAACAAAATAAACTACTAAGTAAAGATTATTCTACATAATAAAAGCACTGTAGTAAACAAATTTAAATTCAATCAGATAGTAAATATGTAGAGTTTTGCTTCATTTATTTATTTAATGCTTCAACTTTCTGTCTGCGGATCTCTAAATTCGCTTTAGAATATAGTGAAAAGAAAATAAAAAATAAACGGTAGGCTGTCGACACGTTACCAAGTGTCGCATAGAAGCGATACATTTCATACTCGCAACGCGGAAACTCTGCACGTACGAATGACCTCATACTTAGTAGTGGGAATAAATGTGGAGAAATTACGAAAATACCAGTACGTATAGAATACGTAAAATAGTAGTGAAATGGACTTTGAAAATATTAAGTTTCTAATTATGTATGTACACGAGTATACGTCGTTGGATATTCGTGTGGTACGGTGGCTGTGTTTCACTGGTGTTATCTATTCTACAGATAAAGGATTTGATTCCCTTTGACTTAACCATATAAACTAGATTTAATGGGAAACAGAATTAGCTTTAGTATCCCAAAAGGATTGAATCTGTGACCTACATGCATATGATAGTAATTCATTTGTAAAACACTGTTCTATCATCCTTATTATATCTATTAGTTCTATTAGTTATATTATTCAGAAATGTTGGATCAATACGATTTTTGTATATTTGTTGTTTTACGGTTTTGTTGACAAATATTGTTTTTAAAGGGCAAACGTTCAGTTTGTTGCCTCCACTTTTCGAGCCGGTGGTAATAACGGACTTACAATAGTTATGTTATTTAAATTATATGTAAAAAATGTAAAATTGAAAAACTGCATATAAAAATAAAATATATTTTGATTGATTCATTTATAAATATGGCAGGGGTGCATTGGCTTTGTTTACAATGTTTATGTTTCCTGGGAGGCAATCTCATTATAATTTATACAATAATAAGTACTACGAATTATAAAACATTTCTATTCATTGTCTAGAGTCAATTTTAACCAAACTTCAGCCAATTTAAAATGAAATTTCCAATTGAATTTCGCCTTTACACTCAAAATGTAAGCGTTTTTAATCTTCCCCTAACGTAATAAAATCTGGTAAATCGATAAACAGTTTTTCCAGTGGAAGAGCTCGCGAGGGCAACACTTACCAGATTAATTGCCTTGGCGCGAGTTGCGACGCACTTCTTATACTGTAATTGACTCTCACCCTCTTATTAGTGAAAAGGTACGACGTTAAATAAAGGTATATACTCTATGGTTTATTTTCAACCGACTTCAAAAAGGAGGACGGTTCTCAGTTCGACTGTATTTTTTTATGTTTGTTACCTCAGAACTCCGTCATTTATTAACCGATTGGACAATTTTTGTGTTGTTTGAAATTGTATACTTCCAGATTGGTCCCATTTAAATTTCAAAAAAAATACCACCCCTAAGGGTGGAAAAATAGCTAATGATGAATTTAACCTACTTCTAATTGTTATATTGACTTGAAACTTTGCAAGTGTTTCTATTTCCGATGATAGTACAGTGGTTCGGTATTGTTGACTTGATCTGATGGTAAGTCCAGAAGGTGGATAGGTGGAACTCTTCAACGGCTAATAGTAGATACTTTGAGTTTCGGCTTATTTTGTTTGATTTGACGAGCCTAACACGTTAGAATTCTTACTTTGCTACTACTGTCTACACTAAAAAGGGAAAATTAAAATCTTTTTAACAAAAAAATAAAAACAGACTTCAAACAAAAGCACTAAAAAGTAAAAAATAACTGATTGGTAGTTTTCATTTACTATACATACCTGATCAAATATTTTCGAAGTCGGTGTGCTTTGCTTTGTATGGGCTGGCACCGATTTCGAAAATATTTAATTAGGTATGTATTTAATAGGTAGGCTTTAATTATTTAGCCAAAGCACACCAACTTCGAAAATATTTGATTAGGTATGTATAATAAATGAAAACTACCAATCAGTTATTTTTTACTTTTTAGTGCCTTTGTTTTACCCTTTTTGTTTTATTTTAAATATTTGGATTTTGTTCCTTTTGTTGGTTGCTTTAATATGATGTATATTTATCAGTGATTGTTATTGTTAGTTTTCTTTTATAGTATTAGTGCTATTTTTTGTATAAGGATAACTGAGTGTTTATTAAGCGAATGAATCGATTTTAGTAGGATGTGTTTATGGATACATACTTACGATAGTAATATCGTTACTCATGTAAGTTTTGTGCCAAGACATGGTATGTCTTTTTTACGAATACATATTATAAAATAAAATCCCCCCACCGTGTCTGTCTGATATCTGTTTGTCTGAACGCGATAATCTTAAAAACTCCCGAACGGATTTTCATACGGTTTTCACCAATAGATGGAGTGATTCATTAGGAAGGTTTAAGTTTAAAATTCATTAAGGTTTATGTAAATTGGCAGAAATGTGACGATGAAAGTTGAAGATGTCGGAAAAAGTCATGCCGATTAGGAGTTTTATTGGTGTGAGCCGCGTAAACCAATAGAGTTATATGAAAATAATGTATTACGGAATTATTTATCTTAAAAAGATCTCTTAACTGTATCAACCCTATATGTACGTACCTAGGGATTCACCCAAACGAAGTGAGGGTAAGTCCCTAGTGTTTTTATAAAATTCAAAGAATAACTTCATATACTACGCTGTTTGACAAATATGAGAAAGCAAATACCCACTTCGAGTTATTTTTTAATTAAAAAAATATAATAAATGTAGATGTACAATTTTACAATATCTTTACTCTATCTATTTTGAAAAAAAATATAAAACCAATTTGACTCACTGCTATCCAGAATCCATATAATATTTAGTTTCATTTAAAAATCCGATCGAAAATATTGTGCTTACCCTACTCACACAGCGACACACTACCAGACTGTTTGTTTATACATACATTAGCTTCGTGGCACTTTTATTAGCTTCCTAGGTCATATTTTGGGTAAGTATAAAAATAATCGGTATTTAATCGAGGTGAAGTAGATGATTGTATCGATTTAAAATTCAGTGTGTGAAAAAATTATCTATCATCAGAAAATGAAGCTAGAAAACGGATATTTGAACTCTTAAATATGCACTTACAAAACTTTCTAATTTGATTCCTTTTGACAAATTTCGTGTGTTGGTTCAAGGCATAATTTTAGTTTTTATATTAATTAAATTAAGTATCCCATTCGATCCAAATTCTTAGAATTACGCGACAATTTCTTTTCGAATTTTTTCGCGAATTTATTTGGATTTTTGGTTTCGAATGCTTTACAGCATGACGGGAGAGACCATCATTCTTGATGTTTTGCTTAATATAAGTGTTAGAAACTAAAAGCGCGCGAGGTGTGGCTGGAGTTTGCTCACAATATAGTAGTTTACATTTAATACTATTTTAAGAAGACGTTAATTTAGTTAGTTTTGTGTTTGTCGATGGATTCTGTCTGTAGTAGTCTGTAGGAATAGAAGAAACAAAACACTCTCCACGCAGGCAAAGCCACGGGTAGAAACTATTTAGTAATATTACTGACCTGGCGCGTCCTCAGGTAGGTCCGGAAAATGCGGGGCGGAGGGCTGCGCGTATAGCAGGTTCAATTCCCGCGCCTCATTTTCTTCTTGCGCTTGCTGTCTTCGGAGAGCAACCTGTTCGAGATTATTATTTGAGTAAATAATGCAAAGATTAACTTTCTCAGATTTATCATATTATTTAAAAAAATATTTTTACGGTGCCTTCTCATTTTAATTTCAACATCATGGTATGAGAAGTCATGGTAATATAAGATGTTTGCAGTAAAACATTTGAAACGTCGATAATAAAATTAAAAATATGCCAAGAAGGAAAACTGGCTATGAGCCCTATTTTAATTTTTAGTATTTTTAAAACTAAATAAACACCATCAATTCATTTCATCTCAATTATACTCTAACTCAAAAACTCATAACAAACCTGTGCAGCCATAACCCTCTGTCGTTCAGCGATGAGTGTGCACTTTGCACATACACAGTCCCGCCAGCGACAGTAGCGCTTGTGTCCCTTGAGAGCCGACACGACGCCGTGGTTTCGACATCGGGCGCATTTAGGGGTTCTCTGTGCCCAGGAAAGGATAATTAATTAACCCACACCTAAATAAATAACTGTCTTTTTATTATATAAGAAAACGTATGTGTGTACTTATGTACGCTTGTAAAGCCATCCGTCCAGGAGTTAATAACAAACATATACACTGATATAATCTTAGGTATATAATAATGTATAATAGTATAAATAAATAATGTTGCACTTTCACTGATTCTCACTAAGTAGCTCTATGTTTAAAGCGTGACTCGAACCTACGATATCCGGATTGGAAATAGATACTTTGGTCACTTAGTCAGACGGTCATTGGATGGTCATAGTGACTGCTTCGTCATGGTTTGCGGGTTCGATTCTCCCCGGAATTAAATACTGTTGATTGTGATGGGATAATTGCGATGCGCTAAATAAGAAAACACTCAAATTGCATGTCTTTAAATTTGGTAGAAAATAACGATCCATTAGTAATTTTTGTGACTTTTTCATTCTTTTCAAGAGACTTAAATAAAAAAATTCGCAAATACAGATTGTATTATTTATAAGTACGCCTAAATATTAAAAGTAAACGCTTTATTGTTGCTGTGAAAAAGTCTTTATTTCATGAAAAATAAGAAGGGAATGCGATAGTTGTAAACCGTAATAAATAGTAACAAAGCTAAAATGATAATGAAGAAGATTTCTTTACAGACAGGCGGACATTTACATGAACATGATCTTATTTAAAAATAATTTTACTTTTAATATATTTTTACACAAGTAAATTATAGTTACACTCGTCTGAAATATGTCTTTATTTAATTATAAATATTGTAATAATGCATTGAAAGAAACTGATAATGGTAGAGATTTTTGATGTTATGATCACTTTGTTCTCGGCTCCTTCTGACTACTCCGCGAGTAAAGTAGCGTTAATTAGTATTTATTTTATAAGGAAACTAAACAAAATATTTTTAATGAAAAATCTATCACAAGCTTCTAAAACTTACATAAAATTAATTCAATTTAGCTCTCAGTTTTTTACAAAAAATCTAGTTCAGTCTATAAACTAATACCTACAAATTAAACGAATCAATTTAGTGTACTAGCATCAAACATGCATTAATTTTTTTAATTATAAATTAACATTTCAAACTCTCCTTTTATATAAAATATTTTATCATGACCGTTAATTAATATTTTGTATGCGAAAGTCCGAATACAAAATAAAATAAAAATATTAATAGAGTACGGAGCGGCGGCTCTATCTTGAATACATTTAATTAACGTAAGCTATTTTGATTTTTATATTCAGAACCACTTGTGAATTCATAAACAACATAACTTATAAGATATTATATATATTACGAATTTTTTTACATCCTCATATTCAGAATTTTTTATATGTATCATAATGTGGTGGCAAGCTTTTACTATGTATTAGATATCTGTGGAAACTTGGTTGATTTTAGGATTACTTTTATATGTTATATAATCTAATTATTTATTGCACTGTATGTTTCCTTTGAATAGCAAATAAACATGTAAAAAAAATAATAAATATAACATAATATAAGACCGCATTACAAATATTAAAAAAGTCTCTGATAGAATGCATTACTAGAAAGAAGATGCGATTTTTAGGAATTCGAATAAAAAAAGTAAAAATCATTGCGCATACACTTTTAAAATAACGCGACGGCCGATGAAACTATACTGCACATAATTATACGTTCACTGTGATAGTTTCACTTATTATGAAAAAAAATAGAAAAAATGTAAAGTCATTTTGAATATAATTATATATCGTGGTTGAAATTTAAAGACTTAAAAGTTATATTTAAGTTATTTAGTCAATATATTAATACAATTACTTTCATTAACACAATTAAAAATGTATATATATTAATTGTACATATTATATTATATAAAATATAATCTGCATTCTTCGTTCAAGCCGAATAGTAAAAAAAATAGAAAAAGAAACCAATAATTATCCAAACGCAACCAGATACTGTTAATCTACTGACACATAAAGTAACAATATGTAACATTACACTTTAATAAAGTGTTACATTACGGCGAAATCAACTTAAGGTCAATTTAATTTTGTTAGGGCTTTGTAATATAATTACAGTGGTAATAACATAGTAATAATATTACAATATAATAATGCCGTAATAACAGGAAGTGACACTGGAAACTCTTATTTGAACTTTAAAGGTGTATTTTGTAAGGCATATTCAGTAACTGTTTATAAAATATTTTGATATAAAAAAAATAAAAATATTATATTGTAATAGTTTTACAAGGTTTATTGAAAAATTAAAGGAAAATATAAACTTAATAAGAATTTAGAAGGCATAGAAGGAAATTATCTGATTTTCTTTAAAGAAGAGAAAAAAAAGCAACGCTGTTTTGCGACGGGAGTTGGCAAAAAGTAAAAAAAAGACTGATGAGTTAAGATATTATTTTCTACTAATAAATTTTAAATATTACTCTTACCTCTATTTTATTTATCAATTATTTTAATAAATTATCATTGAAGCCACTTTTTACGATTTTTTTTATAATCAAAGCTTATTTTTTATTATATTATTTAAATGTAATTACAACAAATAAAATTATCGGTCAATTATATACATAAAATGTTCAAATATATATCAAAGTAAAATAATAAGTTAAAATAACATCTTATTACCTGATATCTCTCAGAGGCCCGAAGGAAGAAAGGCGGCAATGCGGCTAGCACCGGGTGCTGCACTAGTTGCGACACGTCCACACCGTTAGGCAGAGACATGTCTACGTTTCCAAACTTATAGTAATCAATTGTAAAGTCTTGTAACACACGTTAAACAATGTTCATCGTACACGCAACGTCCGAGGCAACACTCCGGCCCGCGGCGGTTCATACACTGTTGCTTCACTTTCGGCAGAAAACTGACTGTTGCCAGTGGGAAAGAGAGCGCGCGAGTGAAAGGACACACTGTACACTCTGCTATACAAGAACACTAGTATGCGACATCGCTGTCTCGCTCCCTCTGTAGTGATAACTGTATATGTTGTATCATCCGGTTATATAAAATGTTGTCAGATGAGAGGACGGCGTACGCCAATGGCGCTCTCGCCAGACCCCGCCCCGACTCTACGCCGCCCTACCATTGGACGGTACACGCTGAAACTTAATTTATAAAGGTGACTTTTTTGAGAAGCAGTTCTGTTCGGACAAAGCGATTGAATGAGGCACAAAAACACAATTACGTTTGTTATTCGCGTCGAGGATTTTCACTTTTTTAATGTTTATTGTTAAAAGGTTTTGTTTAATTGTTCAGTCTGTAGTTTCGATGCTTTCAATATGGTGTTTTAAGGGTTTTATTTCGTACTAATGAGATCGGCGCGATACCGTTTTGTTAGCCATTCTGCTCTATCTGCGTAATTCATCGCGACACGTCGAGAACGCGGTGCACATGCAGCCGGACTACTTGTTCCGTTTTCATCATCCTGTTTAAATGACATTAGATAAATATCTGCCCAACTCTACATTTATTCTATTATAAGAATAGACAATTGTTATTATTATACATTTTTTAAATATCAACTTTCCCATAGCTTCTTCAAGTTATGAGTAAGTTGTATTATAATAAAGAACACCCACGCCATCCCCAAATATAAAAATAGAAGTAGGTACGTCTATATATATCGCACATCACAAACTCGGTTAATTCCTTAATCAATATCAATATCATATGACACCGGGGCGGAAGGTGCGACCGAATTGAAATATTTCAATTTGCTTGTCGAAGGGAATTCGATTTAAATTACAATAAGAGTGAGGGATGAGGGCGCGGGGGAGGGGGTGGTGGGTGAGCGGGAGCGGGTGGAGGGGGGCAGTAATTATTAATGTATAACTGAATATCTGCGCGTATTGTGCTCGAGACAGGACTGGTTTTAATATTGAATGTTTGTTATAAGAATTATAATTGGGTGAAACGTGGGACTCTATGTAGAGATCGGTTATTAGGTTTGGTGGTTTCGTATTTTTGTATTGTAATATTTTATCAAAGCAACTTTTATGTTATAAAGACTCTATGATTATTAACTGCTTTATAGGATTGGGAAACAATTATTAGGTAATTTTTAATGTATCTTATTCATTTATTGTGATAGAGATAACTTTTAGTTTATAAGTGAAAAATAATATGTATGTAATGAAAGTAATTTGTGTTTTAATATTTATATAAAAAAGAAATATTGTAATAGATATTAAGCAGAATAATTTAGCCTCATTCAGAAACAGATAGACAATACAGAATATCTTAGTAAGTGCGAGATGAAAGTTAGCTAGAAGATTTTGGTAAATTTATAATAACTTTTACAAAACTTTACTTACTGTGGTAGTACAGAACCCTCTTTTCTCCAGCCCAGCTCGCATTTTACCGTTTTATCCTTCGTATTATACTTGCAAATATTTTTAATAAAGATATTTCTTTTTAATAGACTCGAAGTTGGAAAGTATTTTGTTTCCAACTAGCGTCTTACTTAGCTTTGTTCGTGTATTACCATAGGTCATAGCGTATATGCGTGAAGGAGTAATATACGTACGTGCATGATATTCATTTCTGCCGTGCAAACTGTGAACGTTCTTCCTTCTGGGGTTTTCCATGAGCGCTATAATATGGGACTCTTTAAGTGTCGTGTCTTCAGGTCTTTTAAAGGCCGGCAATGCATTTGTAACTTCTCTTGTTGCGGATGACTATGAACGACAATAGCCACTTACTGTTAGGTGGATCGTAAAAAACAATACAATACATACAAACATACCAATTTACATACATATTAGTACCTATGTAGAGGTATGCATATACATAATAGTAGAGACATATGTATGATTACAACTTATGAGTTTCTTTTTAAAGGTTTTCTGAAAGTAATTTAGCTCACATTGAAGAGTATATACAGGTACGTAGTTAGATATGTAGGTACATTATATATAATGTGTAGGTATGTTTCTGGTTTTTTTCTCTTTTCCTTTAACACTGGGTATAATACTTACTCATCTAAACTAGCCCCCAGACACCTGCACCATCAAAACAAACTATTATCCTGTACGATAATCGAACGTGCAATCTCCGCTATTGTAATCACTGTTAGACAACTGTCGTGTCACTTAACTGACGCATCACTATAAGCTGTAACTAGGAGTACTCATATATGTATTCAGCCCTCTTTAACGTCCCACTGCTTGGCACGGACCTCCCTCCAATACGAGGAGGATCAAGCCATAGTCCACAACGCAGGCCAAGTACGGGTTGGCAGACTTCATATGTCACATGTCTTTCGAAAACTTGCTAGATTCTCTCAGACAAGCAGGTTTTCTCAAGATGTTTTCTTTCACTGTATAACAAGTGGTAATCATGTTGGAAATGATTCGCACAGGAAAATATCAAAGGTTCGATACCCGGAATTCGAACCTACTTCACTCAGTTACCCAAGCGAGCGCGTTACCACTGGGCTGCCACTACTCGTACTCATATCTGACTTATGTCAACTATATTTAAGATTTAACTTTCAAGACAATATCTTAAATTCCAAAACTTAAAGTAGCCCCTGTCAACAGATACAGGTGAGGGTGTTAGGGGGAGTACTGGAGGGGAGCGGGGTAGGAGGAAGAAGGGGGGTATGTAGAGGCACAAATGAGAATTCCGCAGCCACGACCAATTCGCGAAATGTTCACATTTCGCAAACGTCTCAACTTAGATATAATGTCGTTACTTTTTTATCGACAAGAGACAATTAAAATAAACATTAAGAAAAAAATATTTATTGCTGTAAAACAGTACAATTACATAAATTAAATACAATTATTAAAGTTGAATTAGTTTGATATAAACGTATGATAAAATCTCCTAGCTGCCTACAATGCTCAGCAAAGGAAAAGAAGCAAGGCAAAATAATTACTTACTACAAAAAAAAAGGAAAAAATAAAAAAATTGCCGAATTATTTCAAAATACTCAACTTAATAATTTACCTGTTTATGTATATGACATTAAATATAAATGAAGAATATATTTATAACAGAACAAACATGATATATGAAAGTTATATACATTAAACCATAATAATTTAAAATATAAATAAGATAAATTACATTAAACTAAAAAAAAACCTTAAGTATATATACATCATATAATAACTAAAAATATTATTAAAAGAAGTCCCTTTAGGCAAGGTTCCGAAGATACTGGCAGCGTTCCCCCTTTGAATAGCTAGACTAATTCTTTGTCCGAAGTAGCTGCCAGCTATTCGGTCTCCTGTGACGTCGAATAACCTTTTTGCTATTTCCTTAAAAAGTCTTATAGCGCTAGGACCCCACGGACCAAGGGTCTCGACACCAAAATATAAATTGTCGTAATATAAATATGAACATCCATGACTGGAGTACAAACATTCGTGCTCATCACACAAATGAATGCCCTCAGCGTTACTCGAACCCGCGACCGCTGACACAGCAATTAGCGTCAAACTCTGAAACATCATGAGAAAGATATAGTATTATAGATTACTTGCTAATTAACTAACGCTGGCAATGGAGTCACAGGCAAATAATAGTTTGATTATAATTAAAATATCAACAAAGATGATAAACTCTACCGTTTCTACAGCGGTAAGATTACTTTACGTTGCGTCCGTTAGGATAACATTCTCGCAAGTCGCAAATGTCGAGAATTAGTATGCGTATTATACAATTCCAGTTGAACATTATTGTCTAAAAGTTCAAAAGAGTTTGTCTCTAATCTATATTCATATTTTAAAGAGGCAGTTTGTTTGTTTGTTTGAACGCGCTAATCTAAGGAACTAATAATCTGACTTGAAAAATTCTTTTTGCATTAGATAACCCGTTTATTAAAGAAGGTTATATATCATATGCTACTACCTAAGGGAGCGAAGCAGTGATCATAAATGTGAATAAATCGGGCAGACTTCCATACATTATGTGTTATAAAATAAGCCAAAGTTTTTATGTAATATTAACGCGAGCGAAATCGCAGGTTCTGCTATATTTCTCTAAAATCATCACACTTCGACTCTTCAATACTTTCATTGAGCAAATAAATATCATACATAAAAGTTTCATATAACAAAATTATTCAATATCGTGAAGCAAACTGAAGCTCACTGATCGAAGCAATGCATATTTGAAATTCAAGCAAAATATATCATGATAATATTTTTTCTTTATCGATATTGACAATGAATAAATACACGCACATCACTAGAGAGCGTGGGAGCGAGTGAATATCTTGGTAAAGCGTTAAAATGAAATGTTCGCAATTTGAATATCGTCCGTGTCTTACCTCCCCGCCCGCCCTCGCTACCCATAATATGTACGTCTTTGAGTTTGGCATTACTTTGTTTTAATACGTTTTTTATTTATCATAAGAAATTCTTTTAGCTTTTGTAGGATAAGTAGCGAATGAGATTTTTACACATACATCAAGATTGTAAGCGATGATGATTGAATAAATGTGGAATAAAAGAAAATGTATATTTTCATAAAACACTAGCGACTCACACTCACTTCGCTCGGGTTGGTCCTTAGGTTGATTCCCCATACAAACTTTCATCCCCATTTTTTCCTCCTTAAGGGATGATTTCCAGTATAAAAATTATCTTATGTCCATTTCAGAGTCTCTGAATATCTTCTTATCAAATTGCATCTAAATCGGTTCAGTAGATCCAGAGATTACCCCCTACTACGTCACGAACTCACAAACTCACAATTCACAAACTGACAAACT